CTAATTCGGATGTACATAATTGTATAAAACAAATGTACATAATTGTATAAAAAATGTACATAATAAAAAATATACATAATTGTATAAACAAATATACATAATCATGTCAACTTCCTACCGCGCCTCTTAAAACGACGTCGTTTTGGGAGGAGCTGGACGCACAGTGCACAGTGCACTGTGCACCGTGGTGCAGGGTATAACGATTGATAAAATTTTGTTTGGACTATTGAATTAATTGGTCCAAGCCCACTTCATATTTGAATTTCAATTATAATTATATTTAAATTGATAGTGCTAATTGCCACGTAAGCAGTAAATAACACAAGTACGATCAAGTAAAGCAAGTAAGACTTTTATTGATCGAGTGAAAGGTCCTAAGTACAATCTAAATGACTGCTCGGGTACCGACTGAATGCGGTCGGGATGCTCTGATAATAGTCTATCGATCGTCCGAAAGATCCTCACACTGTCGCAATGGGGGTATTTATAGCCGCGGCGCTGGAGACATAATCCGGGCTTTCCGGCCAGCCCGAGCGTAGCCAGACACGTGTTATCCTCTCGGGCGTCTGGTTGTCCCCGCCAAGTGCCGACACGTGTCCCTCTTCAGCTTGTTGCCCAAGGTCCCTCGGTCGGGAACTGAACATGTCGATCGGGCAAGGACCGGTCGGGAATCGACCCGGTTTCTCCTAAGAATCCCGACTTGTGATCTGTAAAACGAGGAGGAAAGAGGCGAAGGTGCACCGGTTGGGTAGGGCCCAGGCCGATCGGGATACCCCTATCATAAATATAATATAATTTTATTATATTTGAATTAGATAATTATAATTTAATTTGAATTTGAATTAGATAATAGAATAGTGAACCAAGACTTGATTTTGGCCAGGTTTATTTTATTATATAATTAATTAATTTAATTTAATAAATAATTAGGGAGTTTGTTGAGGGATTTTAGTTAGACTTTCTCCTATAAATAGAGCTCTCATTTCACATTCTAAAAACACAATTGAAGACGAAGAACACTTGAAGAATTGAAGAGAAGCTCTGATGCCAAAGGATTGAAGATCAAGTCAAGCTAGGTGAATTGAAGATCAAATATTTCAACCATTCAAGCTAAGCTAAAGTGGACTGAAGATCAAGCCAACTAAAGACCGGAGGCCCTTCAACGAAGATCAAGCAACAAAGCCCTTCTTTGAAGAACAAGCCGCATTCCGGAGGCCCTTCAACGAAGATCAAGCAACAAAGCCCTTCTTTGAAGAACAAGCCGCATTCCGGAGGCCCTTCAGCCAAAGCTTCAAGTCAAGTAAACCAAGTGAAGAATCAGAGAACTTTTTGATAGAGATCTTGATATGAACCTAGTCCAAGATTCAAATAAGATGAGTATTGTCCCAAGAATTGCTCTCAATGTAAAGATAGAGATGGATCGAAATACCTTAAACCTCACGAGAAACCCTTTGTCTCGAATCCTCAAAGACTTGGAAGAATCCCATTGTAGCTTCAAGTACCTCGATGATGCAATCTTCAATCAACTAGAGTCGGATCTAGTTTCCTTCGATTCAAGAACGAGTCCACGAACCTAAATCTAGGGTTGAAGAAAGTAAGATTGATTCGAGTCCACGAATCAATTTGCTAGTCGAGTCCACGACTAGCCACTAATTGAGTCCACAATTAGCTATAAGGTTTCTTACACAAGTGTAAAGAAAAATTTAAGAATTTTATTGAATTAAAGTCTGCCCAAAACTGATATGGATGTGCCCTATTTATAGGTATAGGGCAGCATTGTAATATAAATACAATGGGAAAAAGAGTCCTAAACCTAATCTAGAAAACAAGTAAATAGAGTTTTATTTAGAAAAGGATTTAAGGAATCCTTTCTAAATACAACTAGTGTTTTCTCTTTTATGCCAAACAATTTAAATTAATGATGACCAAAAATAATAGGGCTGATTTGGGCCTAATTTAATCACCAAAATCAGCACTTAAACAATTATAAAAAGCCTTGAGTTCTTCGCCATCATTTGCAATTGGGCTTGAATTGGATTTCCACCATTTTTGAACATATCCAATAAAGAGTTGTCTTAATTGTTTGGACTTAGACCTTGTGATTGGCCCAACTGGTACTCTTAATGGATCTTCAGTAGTTTGGGTTGCATTATCCTCCCCTTCTTGAAAATGATTCGTCCTCGAATCTGTGCAATCATATGGAGACAAGTTTGAAACATTGAAAGTAGAAGAGACATTGTATTTTCCTCTAAGATCAACCTTATATGCGTTATCTCCAATCCGTGATATAACTTGAAATGGGCCATCTCCACGTTGGTTTAGCTTTGACTTTCTTTCGCGGGGAAAATGGTCTTTGCGCAAGTGAATCCACACCCAATCTCCAGGCTCGAATGTGATCTTTTTCCTTCTCTTGTTCACTCGAGCAGCTATTTGTTCGTTCCTTTTCTCAATTTGTTCTTTGACTTTAACATGTATCTCCTTGATCTTCTTGGCACGTTCTTCTCCATCTAAGCTATCCTGCGGATTGTAAGGCAAAGCAAGTAAGTCTATAGGAGATAACGGATTGAAACCATACACAACTTCAAAAGGAGACATGTTAGTGGTTGAATGTATTGCACGATTATAAGCGAATTCAACATGAGGCAAACATTCTTCCCATGATTTTAGATTTTTAGAGATCACACTTCTAAGTAATTGGGATAAGGTTTTATTAACTACTTCTGTTTGTCCATCAGTTTGAGGATGACAAGTAGTAGAAAATAGCAACTTAGTCCCAATTTTAGCCCACAGAACACGCCAAAAGTGGCTAAGAAATTTAGAATCTCTATCAGAAACAATAGTCTTAGGGATGCCATGCAATTTAACAATCTCAGCAAAGAAAATATTAGCAATATGAGTTGCATCATCAGTTTTGGTGCAAGCAATAAATCTAGCCATCTTACTAAAACGATCAACTACAACAAAAATAGAATCTTTTCTCTTAGAACTCATAGGTAACCCTAGAACAAAATCCATAGAAATATCAAGCCACGGGCCGCTAGGAACAGAAAGTGGTGTGTAAAGCCCTTGGGGAAGTGATTTGGACTTAGCATGGTGACATGTAGTACAATTATTCACAAAAGTCTCAACGTCTTTTTTCATTCTAGGCCAATAGAAGTGTTCATGCAACGCATCATAGGTTTTAGAAATACCGAAGTGTCCCATAAGACCACCTCCATGTGATTCAGTGATCAAACTCACACGCAAGGAACAATTAGGAATGCACACTTTATTTTCCTTAAACAAAAACCCATCTGACAAGTAAAACTTTTCCAAAGGAGATCGTACACAAGAGGTGTAGATCTCGCCAAACACTGAATCACTAGCATAGAGAGACTTAATGAAATCAAAACCAAGAAACTTAGCATGTAAAGTAGCAAGTAAAGTATATCTCCTAGATAAAGCATCAGCCACTTTGTTTTCCGTACCTTTCTTGTAGGCAATTTTATAAGGAAAAGCTTCAATGAACTCGAGCCATTTAGCATGTCTCTTATTCAACTTACCTTGGCCTTTCAAATGTTTTAAGGCTTCATGATCAGTGTGTAAAATAAAGTCTTTAAACCATAAATAATGTTGCCAAGTTTCCAAGGCTCTTATAATGGCATAAAGTTCTTTATCATATGTGGGATAGTTGAGTGTTGCGCCACCCAACTTCTCACTAAAATAGGCAATGGGGCGTTTATCCTGCATCAGTACAGCACCAATTCCAATGCCAGAAGCATCACATTCTAGTTCAAAAGTTTTATCAAAACAAGGCAAAACTAGAACAGGAGCGGTGGTGAGTTTCTCTTTCAATGTAGCAAAAGCTTGTTCCTGTTTAGGCCCCCATTTGAAGATGGTGTCTTTCTTAATCAACTCATGCATAGGGGCTGCTATGGAGCTGAAATCACGAACAAACTTTCTGTAGAAACCGTCTTTTTTTGGGACAATGAGCACTGGAACGGCACACGGACTCAAGCTTTCTCGAATATGTCCAATTTCAAGAAGCTCTTCAACCTGTTTCTGGATTTCCTTTGCTTCCACGGGATTGGTTTTGTAGGCTGGTCGGTTTGGCAAGGTAGATCCAGGGACAAAGTCGATTTGATGCTCAATCCCTCTAAGTGGTGGCAATCCTTTTGGCATCTCTTTAGGGAATAAATCTGAAAAATCAGCAAGCAATTCATCAATAGAGGCATTACGAAAACAAGATTCAGAGTGTAACACAAGAGAAGAATCAAGATCAGTGGTAAGCTTATGAATGAAAAGTAAGTTAAACGTGTCTCCCCTTCTTATTGCCTTCTTAATGTCATTTTTTGTTGCAAGAAGAGAGGGCTGATGTGGTGATTCCTTTGCTGGGTTTTGAGATGAAAATGGCGTGGAAAGGGATATTGGAGGAGGTGGAGGCTTTGATTTTGGATAGGGGGAATATGACACTGATTTCGCCTCTTTTGATGCCTTCCTTGATTTCAATAGTATTTTGTAACACCCCGAAATTTTAAAACTTTTAAAGACTTATATAATAAAGGTATTCTCTTATTAAATCTCAAACAGAGCATTGTTAAACATGAAGGTACGGGGTGCTATGCCACACCTGAGCTGGAGAACTCAGATGCACAGGCTAACTAACTAAATTCCGTAATAATGTAAATGGCACGCAGGCCGAAAGGGAAACTATCTACACCATGCCTCGAATCTCTAGCGCGCTCCGGTGTCTACTCATCAGTGCCTGAAAGCCAAATATATCTGTTCAGCGAGAGATGCTGGTAACCCACTCCAATGCGTTGAAATACATTACATATAGAGATATATATAGATATACGAAAACCATTTTGAAGCATGAAGATATATCCTACGAGACTCTAGCTTTTAAAACGGGGATAGACTCAACAGATAGAGCTAAGCACACACAACAATTATACCAAGCATATACAGTTTACAAACAGGCACGGCAGATAAAGATGAGCACAATAAATATCCCTAACCCAGCATATACGAATCCCTAGCATAAATCCCATAGTCACACCCCAAGGCACTCATAACAACAACACATCCATATCTCATCACATAAGCACACTTTGTTGGCGCCACAGGACCAATCGCATGCCCATACATGAGGGTCAGCGCATATAGCTCTGACACGGCCCCGTATCGCAACACGGAGGGGTCGATCGCAACCGACCGATGAACCGCAGCTCATCATAATGTTTGATCGCAACCAAACAGTGGACCGCAGCCCAAGAGTATGTCATCTGACCGCAGCCAGGAAATATGAAACGCAGCTCATGTAGAAACGTTTGATCGCAACCAAACGGTGGACCGCAGCCCAAGAGTGTAAATCTGACTGCAGCCAGCTCCTGAACCGCAGCTCAGGAATGACCAATCCGATCGCAACCGAATTGGGGTATCATGCACACATAACACATAGCAAGCACATGCAACCCACATTAACACATTGGGAAGGGGGAGAAAACGTATAACAAAACCTATGTGTGATCCTTCACATACTAAGAATAATCCTAAGGGGTGCATACTTCTTTCACCTAGGTCAACGGGATACCAATCCAACTAGCATGCAATATATAAGACTCATACAACCTACGAACGGTACCCGAAATATCAAACTAGACATAGGCACGATACACGGAGTTCGTTGGGACACCACGGGGGTCGGGGGAACATCAAACGATGGAAGCCAAAATCCCAAGGTTGGGTACAAACTAGCGGGTAGCCGGTGGGTGAGGGGTCACCCGCCGGCTGCCCGGCGGCGGCACTGTTCTGGGCAGCGGGTACCCGGCGGGCAGCTGCCCGCCCGCTGGCTGCCCGCTGCCGGCGTTGCCCAAATAGGCCGCGGGTAGGTGGCGGGTCCCCTACCCCCACCTACCCCCCATTGACTCTTTTTCACCAAAAACGCCCCGGGAACCTTTGTGGAACCCGAAACCATGCTTAGACACTTTCAAACGCAATTGATAACACACGTAGACAATTAACGGATCGAAATCAAGAAACATATGGCACATAACCTATCATGCTTTTCTAAACATAATCAACACCCAATCATGCGAATTCCCACCCAATATACCAAGAATAATACCATACGAATTCCACGATATACCTAGGGTTCTAATTATTTTTAAATCAACAAGAACACAATTCATCTTCCAAAATCAAGATTCGGTAGGAATATCATATAACTACCAAGAACCTCATGAAGAACATCAAGAATACCATATAATTATCAGGAACGTTATATAATCGTCAAGAACACCATAATTATCAAGAACCTCTCATCATCAAGATCACCCATGGAATCATCCCACCAATCATCAATAATAATATCACAAATCATCAATAGACAATAATATGGGGAAATCCTAAGAGGGGAATCATAGCTATGAAAATAGGTTTTGTTGAGACATGGGTTACCTTTTAGCCTTAATTAATTCCTTGGCTATGAAGGGTCTTTCTTGAAGCTTTCTTCTTTCTTGATTTCTCCTAGGGGAATTCTTGAAACTTCTTGTGTGGTGAGGGATTATTGTGGTGGGGGTTTCTAGGTGCCTCTTAAGTCCCCTATTTATATATCTAGGAGTCCTAATTAGGAACTAATATTATAGGCTTGCTAATTCTATTCCTTTTAGGACTAAGGACTTGTTTTAGGGATAAGGGTCCATGGTCCATAGTGGACCATATTAATTAATTAAAGGGAATCCTAATCGTAGTCTGAATAGTAAAAGGCCTACTTCCTTTATTCCTAATAGATAACTAGGTCTAGGATTCCTAATTAGAATCTGAATAGTAAAGGGTTTACTTTCTTTATTCCCAATAGGCTTAAGACTCTAATTTAGGCAAGGGTCCACGGTTCATGGTGGACCTTATTAATTAATTAAAGGAAACCTAACCGAATTAAATCATATTTAATTATTATTAACGGGATTAATTAAATAATTAATTCGGGATTGAAGGCCGTAACACGGGGTGTTACATATTTCTTCCACCTGTTTAGGAGTCAAAGGAGACAAGACATATCTAACTCCATCCATGTGAAACACATAAGTGTTCATCATTCCATCAAAAGTGATTTTTCTATCAAATTGCCACGGTCTACCTAACAACACATGAGCAGCCTGCATTGGGACAATATCACACAAAATTTCATCAGAGTAACTGTTAATAGATAAAGGAATAGGAACCTGCTTTGTGACTCTAACTTCTCCTGCATCGGTTAACCATTGCAAACGATATGGATTAGGGTGATCAAGCAAAGGTAATTGAAGAAATTTAACCATAGCTGCACTAGCCACATTTGTGCAACTTCCAGAATCTATTATCACAGTACAAGCATTCCCTCTAATTGACCCTTTAGCATAAAATATATTTTCTCTTTGAGACTCATCTTCTTTTAAAGGATGAACATTCAAAACCTTCTTAACAACAAGAGTAGGAACAGACTCACTATCAGCATATTCATAATCAAAATCTAAAGGTAAAGGTGGTTCCTCCTCAACATGCTCATTGGGGGTTTCCAAATGGTCACTAACCTCATCCTCAGACTCATATTCAAGACAAGAGGCAAACTTTTCACATTGTTTTGTTATCTTAACTACCCTCTTGTTAGGACAATCACGAGCCATATGGCCTCTTCCATTACATTTATAACAAATCAATTCTCTATCACGTTGAGGCCTCACTGCCTCACTTACCTTTTCCTTACCTTTGTCTCGTGAATCATCTCTTGGAAGAGGGCGTTCATCACGCCTTTGAGGGGTAGAACGAGTGTTGTTCCATCTTGATGCACCATTGTTGGGCTTGTACATCTTCATCTCTTTGATTTTTACTTCAGATTCTCGTGCAGCATACAAGGCATCATCAAGGGTGTCATATCTTTGTGTACTCATTCCCCACCGGATTTCTTTGTTCAATCCATGTAAGAAACGAGCAATAGTTCTTGCCTCTTCTTCATGTATGTCCCCTTGCTCAAGCAAAATATTGATTGTTCGGTGATAGTCATCAACCGACATTGATCCCTGAACAGTTCCCTGCAATTTTCTTTCAAGATCATAAAAAAAAGATTTAGGGCGAAAGGTTAGGCGCATATCTTCCCTTACTTGAACCCAAGATTCATAGGGAATAAAATCAGCAACTCTCTCCCTATTTCTTTTTCTCCACCAAGATACTGCATACCCCTTAAAAGATGTAGCAACTAGCCTAATTTTTGTAACATCAGAATAGTGCTTTAAATCAAAAAGTGTTTCAACAACATTCTCCCATTCTATATACTCTGTTGGTCCCTTCTCACCAGAGAAGTTAGGAATTTCAAGTTTAATGTTTCCTAACTCCTCATTAGGCTGTTGGATCCTTTGACATCTAGGATCCACTCTCCCTGCTGGTGGCAGGTGTCGCTCATCATAGTGTGGTGGTTGCACTTGCTGTGAGCGTTGCTCCAGATTAGTCATTCGTGTGAGTAACCCGTCCATGGCGAAGGTTAGAGCATCTATTTTTCCTTCCAATGGTTTGGAACTTGTTCATCCATCTGTAGAGGAAAAAAAAAATTCTAAACAAAAAGATGTGTGAGTAGACACGTTAGTGAAACCAAAAAGTTGGCTCGCTCCCTCACTATTCTCAGCTCGCAGGTAAGAGGTGGATTATATAGCTCTGGGGGTGCACTACACACTCTTACAAACACACACTCCACTCGTGTATCGCTCAAGGTGGCAGATACTCTCACCAGCCTTTTTCCAAAAAGGAAAATTCTAGTCCGGTACTCAAGTTGATATGGATTCAACCTCAAAGTTCAAGAAAACGTACCTTGGAAGACTTCACAAGCCTTTGAGAGTAAGGGTGTATCGCGAGATAGGTAATAAAATTGAGAGCAAGAAGCAAAGAAAAAGGACAATACGAGCAAAGAAACTAAATAAGATTTGAAAGAAAAAGGAAACCAAAGAAGGAAGTATGGCAGAAAGATATGCAAGACCAATATCAACAGATAGAGACAAATAGAATGTAAGAGGGGTTCAAGTATACCACAACTAAATAGGAATCTATCAACAACTCCTTCCAACCTTATACTTTTCCCCTTCCTTTTCCCACCAAGATTCTCCTACCAACCTTATTCTTTCCCCAACCTTATTCTTCTTCTTCTTCTTTTGCTTTCTCTTTTTTTTTTTTGATAAGTAACCTCCAAATAACTACTGTAAATATCAACAAAAATTTCAGACCAAGAGGATCCACACAACCCCTTCAAAACAGAATCAAGAATTTCAAGAATCGCCTAGAAAAACAGAAACAATACCCTGACTTTGAAGATCAATATCTCACTAACCAGAAGGAATTAGACAGTGTATAATATATCCAAAGAATGCCCCAGAAGAGATCTACAACATATCCAAAATTCAGATAAAAATAACTAGTGGATCTCGAGATATAGGTAATTCTTTGAAACTGGTCACAGCTCGCGGAAATCTGGACAGGGTGTGATTGAGACGTGATTGCGCGTAAATGCGCTTTGGATATAGGTAAGGGTGAGATGGGGTTGTTTTCTTGACAGAATATGTGGTAATATGGTGATTAGGAGGTGTGAGGTCTCGTTGATATTGGACGGGAAAAAGGGAAAACACTTTCGGGATTGTTTTTCAAGAAACTGGAGAACATGTATCAAGATTCAAGAACACAATCAAGAATGCAAAAGAAAATTTTTTTTGGGGTTTTTTTTAATGAATAAGACACGAAAAAAAAGTATTATGTAAGATAAGAACGAGATAAACCTAGGGAACCAAAGAAACCAAATTTCCAATGATAATGAGACAAACCTAGGCTCTGAATACCAAATTGATATGAACCTAGTCCAAGATTCAAATAAGATGAGTATTGTCCCAAGAATTGCTCTCAATGTAAAGATAGAGATGGATCGAAATACCTTAAACCTCACGAGAAACCCTTTGTCTCAAATCCTCAAAGACTTGGAAGAATCCCATTGTAGCTTCAAGTACCTC